GAGAGAAAAGAAAGAAGTATAAACATGAAATACGAGCTTGTGTTCGTACCAGCTCCTGGAATCAGTCATCTAAGATCATCAGTGGAGATGGCGAAACTACTAGTCGATCGAGAAACCCGCCTCTCTATCACCGTCATCATCCTCCCTCTCATTTTCCGGGGCCAAAACGGAGCCAATGATTCCGCTTACGTGGCAGCTCTCTCCGCCGCATCTAACGACAGACTCCGCTACGAGTTGATCTCCGAGGAAAGTCAACGACCAACCGCCTGGCCCAAGAATGACAACCATATCGAGAACCAGAAGCCAAAGGTGAGGCTAGCCGTTGCGAAACTCGTCCACGACTACTCGATGGTACCGGACTCGCCACGGATCGCTGGCTTTGTCATGGACATGTTCTGCGTCTCGATGATTGACGTGGCGAACGAGTTTTGCGTTCCGAGTTATCTATTTTACACCTCGAACGCTGGGATTCTCGCACTCAAGCTTCACGCCCAGACGCTGTACGGTGATGAGGATAAATACGGTCTGAACGAAACAGAGTTCGAAGACTCAGAGGCTGAGTTGATCGTCCCGAGTTTGACTCGTCCTTATCCGGTGAAGTGTCTTCCTTACTTTTTTGCATCGAAACAGTTGCGACCGGTGATCGAAAGGTTCAAAGAGATTAAGGGTATTATGATAAATACTGTTGCTGAGCTTGAACCGCATGCGTTGAAGTATCTATCGAGTGGTGATACTCCTCGTGTTTATCCGGTGGGACCAATGTTGCATCTCGAGAACCAAGTTGACCATAAGCAATCAGAGATTTTAGAATGGCTTGACGAGCAACCGGCTAAATCGGTGTTGTTCCTCTGTTTCGGGAGCATGGGAGGTTTCAACGAGGAACAAGCGAGAGAAATCGCTGTCGCGCTAGATCGAAGCGGCCACCGTTTCCTCTGGTCGCTCCGCCGTGCATGTCCGGATACAAAATTTCCCGGAGAATTCACGAATCTGGAGGAGATTCTCCCGGAAGGATTCTTTGATCGGACGAAGGAGAGAGGGAAAGTGATTGGATGGGCTCCACAAGTGGCCGTGTTGGGGAAACCGGCGATCGGGGGTTTTGTCACTCATTGCGGGTGGAATTCGATGCTCGAGAGCCTCTGGTTTGGTGTTCCGACTGCGGCATGGCCGTTATATGCGGAGCAGAAATTCAACGCTTTTGAAATGGTGGAGGAGCTAGGATTGGCGGTGGATATAAAGAAACATTGGAGAGGCGATCTTTTGTCTGGAGTGGCGTCGGAGACGGCGATGGCAGAGGAGATAGAGAAAGGGATCAGATGTTTGATGGAGCAGCATAGCGAGGTGAGGAAAAGAGTGAAGGAGATGAGCGAGAAGTGCCATTTGGCTTTGATGGACGGTGGATCGTCGCGGATTGGTTTGCAAAGGTTTATTCAAGACGTTTTAAAGAATATCGATTCGACGGATAGGGGATCGGAGCCTGTACGATCTTGAATGATATGTCCAAATAGAAAGCCGGATAAAAGAATAAAACAACGGTTGTAACTTGCAAGTTTGAGTGTCATTGGAGCCTCTGAGATCTTTGGAACACTCTCTTTGGATTTCTTCATATGAAGTTACGCAAAAGAAAATTACAAAGATAAAAGCTAATATAACGTCAACTAAGCCATCAAAAACCAACTTTCACGTCAGTTAAACAATCAACACTCGGTTTCATTAACTTTCTTGACTCATTTAACATGGGGAGATCATGAAAAATACTCAATAATCAAATCCTTTTAAGTACTTAGAACATCTCCAATGAGAGTTTCTTA